TATATATATATATATATATATATATATATATATATATATATATATATATATATATATATATATATGTATTGTATACATGTATTCGATTCATTCATATCCAGAAAAATAGAATTAGGCGGAGATGCGAATATAAAGACAGTTATCGCCATTGGCTGAGGTATATACTTCTATCTTCACTCAGGGTCCGAGGATCAGTCACTGAGGGTGTGGGTGATGCGTGAGAATGGCGTGTGGTGGCCATGTTCCATCGAGTTCCTGGATTCTTCAATCACCTGTCTGGACTTCGATACGGAAAGCAGAACACTAGTCGTGGTTAGTGCACTGAAAGCGCCTTGTGAGCGACAGTATCAAGGCTTTAGTTGTGGGTTTCTTGGCTCTGAGCTTGCTACACTACTATATCCATCCATCAATGTGTTCATCACCTCCATTCCTATTCGCACGCACAATTGGTTTTACTGTTCAATATATCCACCCACGTGTTTATTATCTCCACTCACATGTACCTGCAGGGCACGGCAAACGGCGTGGTGATGTTGTACAGTGTGTCCAAGGACTTCAATACGGTTGAGCGGGTGTCCGTCATGCGCGCACACACAGGCAATGTGTGTGCTGTGGCTGCTAATGGGGCGGACGGGTTCATCGCCAGTTGTGGCGACGACTACTTGTTTCAGGTAATGGTGCGGTTGCTTGCCTCTCATCTGGACATGCGGCGAATACACCATACAATACGATGAGTTAGACCCCCAATATGACTTTGTATGCATTTTGGACTGCATTTAATTCACTATTCACGGTTTCTAATTGACGGCTCCCCCTCGTAGGTGCATTCGATCTCTTCCAAACAACGCCTTGGCCAATACAAGGTATGTATTGTGAGCGCGTACGGAAAGTTATATCCGCGACAGATACATCCGCATTTTCCCGAAGTTTGATGGACATTCACGGTTCCGTGATTTCTATAACACCGAAACCAATTCCATAAACGCATTCATTTAAAATGGTGGGGGTTTTTTTTGGGGGGTGCTCTCATATATTACAGGCGGCCGTGGGGCTGAAGTCTATGTGTTTGGTGTGCGATGAGAATACCAACGATACCAGCGTATACGTGGGCACAGATGGTGGCGAGATCCTGGCTCTCTCTGTGAGCGAGACAGGTAGGTAGGCCTCTTTAGCTTTGCGTATGTCTTTGCATGTCATACACGCAGCTATTCACCTGCTACATAGTGTGCGTGTACATATGTCTATTTAGACAAGGGCATCATGGTGTATAGCCTTTTGATATATTCACCAGCTACATAGTGTTCATGTACATATGTCTATTTAGACAAGGGCAGCATGGTATACAGCCTTTTTATCGTGGACCGCATTCATCGCCGTAAAACCACATCAACATCCTCCACATATGCTTTCATTGTTTGTTTGTTCATTGTTATCCCCCTTTTCGTCCTGTATCATACCATAACAGGTACAGTGTCCTTTGGTCCTGCGCTAGACGGTCACAAGTCGGCCGTCACTTCACTTGCGTACGCTAACAGCTGCAGAACTCTCATATCCGGTTCGCAAGACAAGTACGTTCCCTGCCTCCTTTTCTTTTACGTGTGCGTATGTAGGGGTCTGGATGTGTTATGTTTGAGTGTGTGCGTTTTGCTGCAGTTGTCCAACTTTCAGATGCGGGACAAGTGTGGGGTGTGGGTTGTATGCGCCTGATGAAGGTATACGCTCTCGGTGTACAAGCTTCACATTTGTTATCGAGTATCAGGAATAGATGCATGTTTAATGGCGTCAGGTCATGTCTGTATTGGTGGCGGTATATGCAGATAATTGAGTTTGTAGATTTGTATCATTCCGTGGCCGTGCACGTGTGCCAGTGTGATAGTCGATTGCTGATGTACGCTGATGTGCTTCTACTGACACGGGCCTCTTTTGCTCAGCTATTTCGCAGTATACACATACATACAACTAGTTCCAGTCCACAGAGTCCAACACTCTGTTAAGCACTTGAGTTTTGCTCCGTTTGCACACAACTAGATTGGTAGGTCTCTGGAAGCTGGACGAGATGTCTTCTACTTCGTCGGGGACCTCCACACCCATCAGCGTCCGTCCTATTCTGTTGCACAAACACACCGCCCCTGTTACTTCGGTCACATACTCGTCACTTACTAATGAGGCGCTTACGGTGGATGCAGAAGGCATGTGCTGCATATGGGATATGTCAGTGGTAAGTGACGTCGTGCACTTTTAACCGGATCTCCTCCCCATGCGGCTTTGGTCGCGTGATTTGTAGAGTACGATGTATCCAAATCACTTTTGGTTCGTAACTTTGCTGATTTTGCTTTGATTCAACGAACATGCGTTCTCCGTGGATTCTAACACTTGCTATCTCGTAATGTATAGGAGCGAGAGCCTCCAGTCACATGGCACATCTCAGATATGTGTGAGCTGTGCGAGAAACCGTTCTTCTGGAAGGTCCAGGAAACCCCTGTGTCCGTTGGATCGTTCAACTTCTCTCTACCGAAATTCAACGTAAACAGACAACATCACTGCCGACAATGCGGGAAAGCAGCCTGTATAAACTGTGTGCCACATAAGATACTGCTCACAAAGAATGGGTATGGCCGTCTACTCAAGTATCCGTTGTGTCTGTGGCGCATACTTTGTTATATATGAGGCGCCTGTGCGTGTATCTGACATGCAAGGTTCTGTTGGCGTGTAGCCCCCCGCTGGGTGGGATACGAGGTGCTGGTGCATGTGTCAAACGTACAAATGTTAATACCGTGGCGCATACATTCAATATTAGACCCGAAGTGTCTGTACAAGCGTTTGATGTTTTATTCTGATATATCCTGAAGCGTTGCTTATTCCTATTGGATATACGAGATGCTTGTGCCCGTGGCCAATGCGTTCTGCGGTGCCTTTGTGTGGTACCGCCTTGTTCTGCTGTGTTGCTGCCCTCGCCCATTAGCGATGACACACCTGTGCATGTATCCAAAGTTTCCGCTGTTGCATCCTCTCCCACAGACACTGGATACCGTGGCGTGTATCTCAAGCTTTATCTTCACACTGACTCTCCTTCAGATACGAAGTGCCTGTATACGTGTGCCGAGAGTGCTTCCCAGCCTTATCGCCCGATGTGAGCAAGCCCACCGTGCACGTGGTGAAGCTCAAGGACATGTGCAAGGTCGAGTGTATGGGCGACTCCGACCAATTCACGGCCGTACACAAGGATTTTGCTGCCAGGGTATGTTGTCTATGGGTGGTAGCTGGAGTGTACGTGGAGTGAGTGTAGTAGTACTGCTATGCTGAATGGCGCTGGGGGTGTAATTGTAGCTTCACATTGCCACATGATGCTACAGCTCTGGGCTCGAAGCTCAAATACAATTTGCAACTGTACGTCGATCACTGTGACGAAACAAGATATATATATATATATATATATATATTGCATTATTCTCTAATGCCTACGATACTTGCATTGCTGCCAAATACATTCAGGTGATCAAATTTGAGAAGAATTCCCGATAATATTGCTGATCCTTGCTGCTGCTGTTCGTGCTTGCCCCGGGGTATACAGGTCTTCTGAGCACACACCTGCACAGCTACATGTTTTACATACATCCTTTCGCGTGTGTACGTTCTGTCCACGATTAGCGCATGCTCCCCACTACATTGCTACGCTATGGTTTCCGCTGCCAGCCCTACAAAACGGCGCATGTCCGGAGGAGTCAACACCGTGTGCGTCTTGCTGAGACCCTCCAAGCTCTGCTTAGTCGTGCTGCAGCAGGCGAGAGCACAGTCGGCTACTGTGTGCACTGACAGAGCCCCCGACAGATACTTGTTATTACGCACCGCATGATGGCCAATACCCTGGTGTTGGAGTGTTCGTTTTGATTATGAGGATACAAGGGTCGGGATCAGGATAGGGACTATCGCACTTATTTGTCCATGTATGAGACAAATGGATATGTTCTCAACTAGGGATGAGATATTTAGTCTCGCTTCTACCAGACAATTCAGAAAGAACATACTTTTAGGGCCATTCCAGCCAAATAGAAGGGCAGCCGTTGAACACCAAAGAGCATCCCCGGTTGTAGCACCGCTATTGGAGAAAAGAAATAGCGGGACGCAATTGTCACTTACGAGTTGTACTGTGACTACTCGAATACTTGATCTCCCAGCATTAAAGCAAATCGTAGTATTTGATTATAGCGTGCAAGCTGAGCATTCTTTTGTACGTACAAAACAGGGCGCAGACTGCGTCTCTGCTGAGTGCAGCTACATCTTGAATGGTAAGTAACCAATACCTGTGTGCATGCTGGTTTCGTTCCGCATGGCCTCCTCGGCATCCTGCTTGGACCGCATGAAGGCTGTGTGCCTAACCCAGGGCGGAGCTGTATGATCCAAATAAAATTATCCACACGAGTTAACTTTATATTTCGGATAATTAGCATCACAAATATTTTCCGGTCAACACACGACGAGATGTGTAGATTTGAACCACGCGTGTATTCACCGTACTATAAGTAGGATCAGGGTCCGATTTATATTTTTTAACCCATATATGTTGACCACTTCAACATACAATCTAAACCGGAAAACGTGCGTTTCTGAACTCTCTAGAACATCCTCATACCATCAAATGCGGAGATATAGACGAAATGCGAGGCACCCGCCTTTCGGGCCAGTTTCAGAGACCGGACCAGAGTCATATAGTTGATATCGTAGCAACGTTCGTGCGAGAAAGTACCAGCGCAGTGTATAACGGCATCCACACTAGAAAGAAAAGACAAAAGTACCGTTAGATCATATTCTTGTGCACAACATAAGTATAGTGACCATGGCGTGACCAATATTATTTTAAGCATAGATGTCGGAACTCCGAGACGACTCGAGGATATGATTCGTTACCCTGCAAACTTGCTCTCTAGCACTTCTGAGCTGTCGTGCACCAGATTGCTTTGATTCCAATTCATCATTTCCTCCACCCACTCACGTGAAAACATCCATTCACTCTCGTTGGCGGAGTGGGGATGCAACCCTGTAGTAAATAGAGCGAATTTTAAAATGTGAATAGCGTGGGTTGTTAAACTCGCTTGTCTCCATTGTAGTGTAACAGAAATACTCTTGTATAGTGTAATGCCATCGAAAATTGTTCTTGTGCACAGAGTGTGGATGCAAAGCTGCGGCAAATAGGCTAAAGAATCAGAGTCAACGTTAGAGCTGTATATATAAAAACACGTATGGTGAAGGGGTGTCTATCTGGCAGTATTGTCATGTCCTACGCTCTCGTTCATACAGTGAATATATAGCCTTGTAGCTAAATTAATGGTATAAAATGTCATGAGAACCGATTCATTTGCTGCGCTTCTGAGTTCTGTATACGTAATGAGGACACCCAAATCCGCACTTCTACTTCAGAAAACTACACACACACATACACACATACAAATACACACAAACGCACACATACACACACACACACACACAATATATATATATATATATATATATATATACTATATACTATATACATATATATATACATACTAATAACTATATATATATATATATATACGTAAGTTATACGATATA